TGTGCCATCAAGACAATTCTGACTTATGGCAATCCTTTTCAGAGTTTTCTAGGTGGAGAATACTTTGAAATAGTTTATCATTCCTTTATTCTGGGGCATCCTTGCGCTGTGCATCTTGCCCAAGGCCAGGACGTCTGGCGTTTCTGGGATGCACAGTGGAGAAGTGCACTCCAAATCTCTGACTCTGCAGACAGACAACTAACTCACTGTGTTGTTCAGCCAGCTTAGTATGACATGGCCTTTGGAAAACTGAAAGAGAATGTTAGGGCACATTTCTATGTTACCAGAATAAAGCAGGTGAGAAAATGCTGCTGGTGCCAAGGGATGTGTTAGCACTGGTGGGTGTAGATGGACTTCTACAAACCGCTTTCACATCTGGAGACTGCACACATATTCAGCAAACTTTGTTTTTGGTAGTTTCCCACAATTATTGTGAACAGTTATCCTTTTTTCCTATATTGAATGAGTTAATATTTCAGTGATCACCAAGGAAAGCATTATCTACTGAACAGAATAAGAACCATCACTCCTTCCATTTCAGCAGGTGTTCCAAGGATCACCAAATCAAATCTTGCTGACAAACATTGCTGGGAGGTGCTCTGTATGTCTCCCTTACAAGTAGTCTTACTGTGCAAATCACAGAAGTCTCTCTTGTTTTCATCTGACAAAAGGTTTTTTAGGTTCATCATAGCTGACGTTATCGTAGTAAAGGCTTCATTCCAGAACAAAATCAGACAATCATTTACAAGTATTTTAAAACTCATCTCAATATCTTCATTACAAGGATTTTCTTTGTTGAAATAATCCAAAGCAACTCCAAAACTTGAAGTTTTACCAGTTTTAGTTCTACATAACTTCTGGATTTGATAATCGTGAGGTAAATCCAATAGTATTAAAAACATGTAACTTTTGAAGTCACAGGCCCATCAGCTGAACTTTCAAAAGTCATCGTTACAGTTATAAGCAACAGTGAACATTACTTAAAATATATTGAATACTGAACCTTTACTCATGTACTTAACTCAGAAAATACACCTCAGTTATAAGGTTTTAGCTGTACAAAGTCTAAAAAAGAACTATAACCATTTTTGAATCAAAAAAGGGAGCTTATTTAAAAGACGAATTCAAAAAGCATATGAAAAAGAGTATCACTCACTGTAACACTGAAAAATTAAAACATTATAAATTTCAGAAACTGTAAAAGGTTTCTTAAACATACATGAAACACCAGAGTTCTCATAATAAGGAAATATAAAATGAAAGCTTTTTTGAAAATTAAAGACATTTTAGGCAGTTAAAGCCTATATAATATGACTTATTGCCTTTCTGAATCTGTTTCCTTACTGTTGCCTTGGATGAGATATTTCTTTCCTCTTCATGGATTGCTGCCTTGTCATGGCAAAGGGGATTGAGCGATTTGGAGAAGCTATGGGTTATGCCGTGCAGGGACACACAAGACGGACAGGTCATAGTGGAGAGTTCTGACCAAACGCAATCCACCTGGAGCAGGAATTGGCAATGCCACTCCAGAGCTAATGAAGTGGTTGGGCCAAAGCCAAAAGGATGCTCAGCTGCAGACGTGCCTAGAAGTGAAAGGAAAGTTGATGCTGCAAAGTAAAATACTGCATAGGAACCTGGAAAATAAGATCTATGAACCTTGTTAAGCTGGATTTATGTAGTCAAACAGGAGATGGCAAGAATAAACCTGTGAGCAGGTTGTAGTGAAAGTAGACATTTCTTTTTCTTTCTCTTTTCCCTTCACAACTTCATTTCCTTCCCTAGGTAATTTATCAATTTAGGGGCAGGATTTAGATCTGTAGGCAAAATAAGTGTACTTATTTAGGCAGTCTCATCTAAGGGGCCTGTATTGGACAATTTCTTACTTTATCTTCTGTGTGGGAAATACATGCTTCAGCATTTAGCCTTTACACATGCTGATGTGTAATTCAAAGAGCATACAATTGCTCTTGATAGCAAGGATTCTTTTGTTCCCCCAGAAAAAGTCCAAGCAGAGATTGATGGTGTTGTTGGAACTGCTCAGCCCAGGACTGAACACCGAATAAGAATGCCATACACAGATGCCGTAGTCCATGAAGTTCAAAGGTTTGCCGATATCGTCCCGACCAATTTGCCACATGCAACTACTACGGATGTTACTCTCAAAGGCTACTTCATTCCAAAGGTGATTAACTTGATTTAGTTGCAAACTTTGCTTTTCAGTCATGGTCCACCTGACTAAGAAATTCCTGTCTATTTTCAATAGAATGACACTGTAAGCAACTTCCTCTTCAGAAGTTGGTGAACATCAGCTCCATATTGTAAAGCATGTGTAAATGCTAATTGAGTTGTACATTTATTTAAAAATCAACCTCTTCCTTTTCAGGGAACTCATGTCATTCCGTTGCTGACTTCTGTGCTCCATGATGAATCGCAGTGGGAGAAGCCTCATGAGTTCTATCCCGAGCATTTTCTCAACTCTGCAGGAAAGTTTGTCAAAAGAGATGCATTCATGCCTTTCTCTGCAGGTACAAAAACATACAGATATGGAGTGGGCTGCTGCAATAAGTAAACTGACTTGAAACAGTACAATCTCAAAATATGCTAATCCCTTCTAGGAAAAAAAGATGTTCTAATGCTGGATATGTTCTGCAATACAGTACAGTACTGCATTTCCAGGATTGTGAGATAGATTGAACATGAAATTTTATTACACTTTCAAGGTTCTCTTTCTTACAATTTGCTGTTATTTTATTTGCATACCGTCATCTGTTTGTGCTGCACACTAAGTGACTGCAATGAATAATGTCTGGAGATTTCTCTCCTTGCAAAATTGTGCTTCCAAAAGGTCCAACTTGCATACAATTGCACAACCAGATTTCAGCTGATGGGTGATAGAAAAACTGTATAAAATAACAAAAAGTTAGTAATGCCTATGTTTTTCTGCTCTGGGCATTTTTACAGGGCGCAGGATATGTGCAGGTGAGACCTTGGCCAAAATGGAGTTCTTCCTGTTCTTTACGAGCCTCCTGCAGAGATTCACCTTCCAGCCCCCTCCCGGAACGTCTAGAGAAGACCTGGATCTCACCCGAGCAATTGGGTTGACAACACCTCCCCTGCCCTTCCACATCTGCGCTCTGCCACGCTGAGATTGCTCATGAAAGTAATATGGGTGAAGCAGCTTCTTGATTGAACTGACCCATCCACAGATCTCAAGTATTCCTAGTGCCTCTGTTGCTGTTTTGAAAAAAAGAAAAGAAAAGAAAACAGCACTTGATGGAATTGGCTATGATATTGTATGACCTATATTCAGTCCTGTTGAATCCCATAAACTATAGCGATACACCATTTAGTTTATAAATGGGATTTTGGTTCATGTGCTATTTGCTGCTGAGTCCAAATCAAGGCTCTGCTTATATTTTACAGCCTCTACGTAATGTGCTTCTGCTTCTAGATCACACCAATGTCTGACAGATCCATTTGTTTCTGGTTCACATCAATGTCTAATACAATTTTGACAGCATGAAGTTGGGGCGAGCTCAGGAGAATAGACCTGTTTGCTTCATTGAATGCTGCCTAAGATAAATAAATGGCATATTCTTCCTTCCAGAATGCAGGATAAATAATACTTGGTGGTTGTTCTTTGTTTTCTGAGAATATTTCTGAGAAATGCTCATTGGAAGAAAGTTCATGGTTCTTGTGTTGATCTTCTTTACCAAGTGGTGAAAGGACTGTGTTCATGTATGAGGATTATATTTCATTATATAATTATCTCATCACTATCCTGTCTCCAGCAGGATAACCTGTATCAGCTTTTTGCAGAACTTTCAGGCATTGTACACGTCTCCGAATACACAAAGCCTATTGTTTCCCATCTATCTATATCTATATCTATATCTATATCTACATCTACATCTACATCTACATCTACATCTACATCTATATACATATACATATACATATACATATACATATACATATACATATACATATACATATACATATACATATGTAAGAATCATCAAAATGACCAAAAGCCATGTGGAATACATATATATCTTTTGGAAGGTAATATATATGGAAGGTAATATGAAGGTAATATATATATTCCACATGGCTTTTGGTCATTTTGATGATATATATAAGGTTCTGCCTCATTAACTAGGACTTAATGTACTAAAATAGGTTATAGTTAAAGTAGGACCATTTGAATCAATGGAACTTTAGGAGGAATTGACTCGCCAAATCCTCATTGATTCAATGAGCCAACTCTAGCGCAATTTACTATGCTAATCAACAAGATTTCAGCCATTATTCCCTAGACATTTTCTCTCATGATGCAATGGCAAAATTCACTAACATTTTTGTGTTACAGTATAAATTAAAATATGCAAACACATTTCTGAAAGAAAATATCCCCCTCTAGTGGCAGAAGGCAGAATAGCAGCTTCCCATTAGTTTCTATGGACAGAAAAGAGCAGCTACGGATTAAATGGTTTTCAATGCATTCCTATGGGAAATGCAGATTCGACTTAAGAACTTTTCGACTTGAGAACCACCTTCCAATACGGATTAAGTTCTTAAGTCGAGACCCCACTGTATATCTATAACTATATCTATATCTATATCTATATCTATTCATTCAAGTTTATACCACCCTTCTGACTGTAAGGTCACTCTAGGCAGTTTATAGTTTAATAAAAGAAAACAATAAAACACCAACACTTTTTAAAAACTCAAAAAAATCAAAATCAAAACCAAAATTGCAATATACTGTCATAATAACCAGAACAACAGGAACACAAACATATAAAAAAATGAATTTAACAGGTATGATGGCGGAGCAAAAACAAACGTTGAAACAGCCACCACGTTGTCATGATGTAATTTCTGGAAAAACCTGCCTGAAAAGCCGTTTTAAGAGATCATTTGAAGGTTTGAATAAAATATGATTTTAGGCTGCATTAATTGAAATATAGTCTCCAAATCCTGTAAAGTACTAGTCCTCCTCTATTCGGCACATATAGCAGAGGGCAGAAAGGATATGCGAAGACAGGAAAGCAAGTTCTATGAGGAAACACTGAAAGAACCGGGCATGTTTCACCTTGAAATAACAAGACTTTGGTTGAATATCAGAAAAGCTTCCTAGCTAGACATGGGAATGAAGCGTCAAAATAGGGGGTTATCTTGGGTCATGGGTTGTCAACCTTGGGGCTATCTAAAAAAGAAAAGAAAAGAAAGCTGTCCGCTCCCCCAGCCGGACCCCACCACCTTCCCACTGCCGCTTACCTTACCCAGCTGCCTCCTCCTGCTTCACCGCTGCTGAAACAGAGGCTAGATTGGTGGAACTGCAGTTTCTGTTCCAGCAGCATAGCTTTTGCAAGGAACAGTGGGGAGGGTTTCCCTTTCAGCAAGCCTGACTGAAGCAATCCCTCACCCATTGTAGGCCATTTCTTGGGGGGGTGTAGGAGATGTCAGGGGCTTCTAAACACAACTATCTAGAACCATCTCATACTGGCTGATATACAATAGTCAACATAAAATAATATACACAAATTGTATAGAATACAAACATTCAAAACATACATTGCCCCTAGAATCCCATTTCTTTTTTTATGTATGCAGGAACAAAAACACAGATGTCACAGAAGCTAATATAAGCTAATTAACAAGGTTTTGGTCACAAGTAGCATTTTATTAATTGCTTTCTAGTCTCTTTGAGAGAGAAAAAAAGGATCTGACCAATTCTGCTGCTCCTGCCGCCCCCTCTTTCTCCTCTCCCTCTTCCTTCTCTTTTTTCCAGTGAGTGATTCTGCACAATACGTAGAGATAAAATAGGCTCTTTTTCAATTGTATTAATATCTTGAGAAGGAAAATAGATTGTACAATCTTTTCTCAGTATGAAAATATAAACTTGAAAATATTTATTAGAATTCTAACCAACCCACCAATTTCGGCTCAGGCTTTACAAGGGATCAAATATGCTATTTAAATGTAATTTTGCCTTCAGGCCTACTCACCCCAGGATATAAAGAACATTAATCCCTCAGGTAATACACCTGCTTTAGACACTAAAGGATGCTCCTTTGGAAGTAAAACTATTTGAGTATCAATCAGTATCTATGGCCTTTAGCATAATAAACAGGAAGCCAAAAATTCTTCTTACTTCCCTAGGGCACAGTCCTCTTCCTTACCTGAGAATGTAAAGGCACTCACACAAATGTTGTGGTCTTTCTCCTGTGCTCTGAATCAGGCAGCTGATCTTCTCTTCACTGAATAAAAGACTGTGAAGCTGGTTGCACACCCAGGCCTAGGATGGGCAGCACTGGAAAAGGAAAAATCTTGTCCTTATGCACATGGAAAAACAGAAAAGGATTTTGGCTATACAGTCTAAAAGCAGGATTACTGTGTCTCCTGGCCTATATTCATGTTAACAAGTGTGTGGATTTGGGGTTGTGTGCATCATATGTCGCATCCTCTGAAATTACAGTTCACCTCCTTTCCCAGCTGTTTCAGCAGAACCCTTGGGGTGAGAGAGAGGTAAACAGCACTCCCCCTCCAGCCACCCTCAGCTATGGTCAGGCAGGATTGCTGGGGTGGAAAGGAGGCTCAGGCTCCCCATCTAGCCATGGTATCTTGGAGTGAGGTGGGGGGTCCCTCTCCCTCCTCCTTACTCCCCACCACAAACAAAAGCACCTTGAGCTCGTGGTTCAGGGAAGATTGCTAGGCTGGAAATAGGCTTTGGTTCCTGCTTCATGACAGACAGACAGACACAGACACAGACACAGACACACCACAACTGGAGAAAGTGCTACAGAAAGAAATGGCAGAAATACCAGATGATAAACTCCTCTAAGGGGTTTTCTCCTCCTTTGCCTTCTGCTGTCTTCTCTTTATTTAATTATTTGTTTGTTTTATTTATAGCCCACCTTTCTCCTGACAAGGGGACTCAAGGCAGCTCACAATACTAAAAAGAATAGAGTTAAAAAACATAAGTTAATTTTTTTAAAAAACCTTATACACTAATTAAAACACAACTGAATAATCAAAAGCAGGTAAACATTAAAAATGATCTTAAAATATTTATTTTTATAATTCTCCTGTGATTCAGTTTTTATCCAGTTCCTCCCTTTCCCACAGAAGGCTTTCTCCCTTTGCGCAGCTGCCTTGCCCAGAGAAGCCACTGTGTCACTGGCAAAAAGGAGGATGTGAAGGACAAGGAACACAAAGAAGGAGAAATATCTTCACTCAAAAGGGGAATGCTTTTGCATTCAATTGGCAAATGCTGATTTAATCTCATAAACCCAGTTATCATCACAATTATTATTATTACTACTACTATAATTTAAATGGAAACCTCTCCAAATTGCACAAGAATGTGACTATAACTGACTCGAGAGAGAGTATTGAGAAAAAGATGGGACATAAATCAAATAAATAACAGTGTTTTGTAACTCATTGAAATGCCCTATAGCTTGTATTTGCTAGAAAATAAACAAGAGTTCACTGTAGCTTTGTTGAAATATTTAGCTAGGCTATCTAGCTATTTCTAAAATTCTAATTCTGAAAGGCTGTAATTCAGAATTCCCAATCCAAATTTTGGGGCTAAGTACACATCTCTATCCAGAATTGACACAGGGAGGTCTTAGCAAGGCCATGTAACTAGGCGCACAGGTGTGGCGGAATGCCATCACATCACGCCACTCCGATCTGTCCATCATGTAAGCTAAAAGGCAGGAGCCTATGATAGGGCAGGAGGGGCGGAGTCATAGGGACAATTTGTGGAGTTAGAATGACAGTTTTGGAGTTAGAGAGGAGTAGGAGAGAGATAGGGATTTGAAGAGGGAGAGTTAGGAGATTGAATTGAGGTTAATACATAGATTGGAGTGATAGAGGGAATAGGGAAAGATTTATAAGGAATAGAGAATAGATAATTACCGGTAATAAAAGTATATTGTTGTTGTGAATAAAAATACATTCAAATCAATGCATAAACATATCCTATTTAATGAATGATCCTGAACATCTGTGATTTCCTTTGTGATTTACATAACCATAGAAGAACATCTGTAATTTACTCCTGTGATTTTCAAACTTAAAAGTTCCATAAACCTGTTATGGTTGGCAGCACACGTGTCAGAAATACGTATTTAGTGTTGTGTGAATAATACTTGGTGGTAGCGTGTAAAGAGAAATGCATCCAGAGGGTGGACCTATATTTAAGGGATAAACAAGGGACACTGGGTGGACGCAACAACAGGTCTTATTGATCTTCATGTATATCAAAGAAGAAGATTCTAGCAGGTGCACCAAGGAAGGTGTAGCAATCTGGGTGTGTCTCAGAGAAGATTCTCTCCAGATCTAACTCTTCAGCTCTGAGCCAATGAGCTTTCAAAACAAAGTGGTCTCAGCAAACAATAAGATAAAACCTCTGTTTCAGCTTAATCTCCTCTAGTATAAAGAGCAGAGAAAATGAAAGGAATCTTTCCCTGTGTCCTGGAGGTCACTTAAAGTATGGTGAACTCAGCCCTCCTCTTACAAGTGAAGCATGTTGACATAAAAGCACATGGCACTTAACCCTAGCTTGCTCTTCTATTTGTCCTGAGCAATAAACCATTTTAACTCTTT